TGACCTTATAAACATCTATTACGTTCGCTTTTCTTGTTGGTCCATATATGGACCAGTCCCGGAGCGAAAAGGTTAACAAAAAATTGATTTGCGTAGTCAAGAGGTAATTTAAATTATATTTAATAATAATAAAAAAACTATTTTTATCTATGGGTACAAGTACATTGCTCTGCACTATTTTTAATAAAATAATTGTTATTATATAATAATAATTATATAATAAAAATGTTATACATATACATAAAGTGTTTTTTTTTTATATAATACATTTTAAAAACAAAGCGTTTATGTTTCAAACAAAAATTGTAGGATTTTTGCAACAATGTAGCAAAAGATATATGTATCATATTATATATAATTAAGATACAATGCGATGTATGCAACTTGCCAAATAGTAAATAACATCTCTAACGTTTATAAGATATAATAAAAACACATTTATATATAATCTTGCTACTTAGGATGCAATACAATATTTCGTACCGTAATATTTCAGTATTATATATTCTCTACAAAATCTATTCTACAAAAAAAATTATATCAATAAGCAGCGCCAAGTAAACTTTTGTACATTTATATATTGTTACAAAATATAAAATATTATATAAAACTTTGTAAGTTGTTTATGCGTCGTAAAATATAAATCTAAAATATTCCAAAACAATAGAAAGTTTAAAATATTGTGTGACCAAAGTACTTTTTATCAAGCACTCATCGATATAAGAAATGACCTTGTCTTGCGTGAAAAATCTTAAACTATGTCAAATCATACATGTAGATTTCGTGAAAAGTTAAAACTCTTTGTGTGAAAAATCAAAAACTCATGTAGAATTTTTCAAAATAAAAAATATATAATACAAAAAAACTTGGCGCAGCTGCACTGACAACTAACAATAAGTGCTTTGTAGCTATTTACACAAACGATACTGTGTTGACTAGAGTAAATGAAACACATATGTTCTTAAACTAATAAATATATATATATTCGGTCATAAGAGCCGTTCGCTAGGTGTTGTGCGGAAATTATATGTGTATATATATCCATATATATACGTGTTCACATGTAAATTTTTACACGTGAAATTCGAATTTTAGAATTGTTATTTCAATTCGAATTTCACGTGTAAAAATTTACATGTGAACACGTATATATATGGATATATATACACATATAATTTCCGCACAACACCTAGCGAACGGCTCTTATGACCGAATATATATATTTATTAGTTTAGAAACTTCAGAGCCTGAAGAGATTCTTTAATTACATATGTTCTTTCTTACTAATAAACACTGTGTTACACAGTGTCGCCTCAGGCAACCAGCTGACGTTATAATGACGTTAATATAAAGTCAGTTTTTGATCAGTTCGACGTTAGTTTATGACGTGATATTAACGTAATGACGACGTGAGTTTGTCTCGTCAAAAATGACGTCA